GCGCAGGGCCCCCACAGTCCTGCCTCCATCGCCCCCCTGCCCCCCGCTCGGCTCGAGCCCCCAGACCCTCCCCTGCACCTCTTCGGGCCCCTCTCCAGGCTGCACCCCGCTCCCGGGCCTCGCCCGCTCTGTGCCTTTTGCCTGCGCTCCCCGGTTGCTGTGGCCTTGTGGCCTGTCTCTGCTCTCTGGGATCCCCACCCTCTGTCAGCCACTCAGTCGCCCCTCAGCCTCAGCCTGGCCCTGCCCTCCCCGCCACCAGCCCCTCTCTGCTCCCCTGTCCCACCCTGGCCACCAGACTCCCAGCAGCACACACAAAGTGCCATAGCGTCCATGTTAAAAATTAAAATCAAAACCCTCCGCCCTGCACTCAGCACCCTGCACACTCCCTCTTCCCACTCTCTGCTCCCCTCCCTCCACAGCCCCATCTGCTGGCTCCACCACAGACACGGCTCAGTGGGATGCGCCTGGTCCCGGCCTGCCCCTTCTCCCTTGGCCCCGCCACTCCTCACTGCCCTAACCATGGACACACCAGGCCTGGATTCAGACCTCTACACGACACCTCCATGCCCACCCCTGGGCCATCTCATCCCAGACAGTGGCTTAAATTCCTCTGGGGTGGACATCTCCCACCCAAACCATCCACCTTCTCGATGTCTTCTGGGCCCTCAGGAGCACCTCTGGAGGGAGAGGCAGGCAGCGACACCCCATCCACCCACCCACTGCTCCTCCTGCAGCCCCCACCATGCCGTGGGCCCGAGAGCCCCCCATCCACGTGGCCAGTCGATGTGGCCAAGAGAGCACTCGGAGGTGTGGACTCGCTGTCGGTGTAGGGAGGCCACCCAGGCAGTGCAGCGGAGACACAGACGCACAGCGCGCTCACACGGAGGGCGCGGGCCCGAGCCCCTCCGGGGACCAGGCAGCCACGAGGCACAGCCTCGGGCCAGGCAGCAAGGCCGGGGTTACACAAAAGCACCAACCATCACAGCTAAAATGGGCAAATCAAACTTTATCAGAACTGAAATGTTCTGCTCTACTAAGACATTGAAAAGCCAAACTCTAGAGTAGGGAGAAAATGTACAAACTGACAAGGCCCACACCAGGGCGTGTCCTGGGGGGGCTCCCGCCTCGGGAAGCTCAGGGCAACGTCAGGTGCAAACTGGAACAGGGGTGGGAGGGCAGGACTGGCCAAACGGGCTGCACGGAGCGAGACTGTCCACACCCGCCTCCAGGGCTCACACGAGCACCTGCGCAGCGGCCCCGAGCCCGCTAACACCAGCACCTGGGGGCATTTAATAAGTGTTGATTACTTATTAATTATTATTACTGTTTATTAGACGTTGACCACAGAGAAGGTCTCGACCACTTTCAGAGGGACGGCAGACATGCAGCTCAGGTCCCCCGGTCAGAGCCGTGAAGTGAGGGAGTTTCACCCGGGAGCACAGCAACACGCATCTGGATGCGCCTGAAAAACGCCTCTGAGCAACGTGTCAGCGGCGCAATGGGAGGGCGGGGTGTGTGCCCTAAATGAGCGGTGGGCAGGGTACCAAGTACCAAGCCTCGCTGTTCCGCTCTTTTGTAAAGAGATTTTTAGCTGTAGATGCAAATATTAGAGAATAATAAAGCTAAGGACAGTTAGGAAGAACACAGCAGATTCAAAACTGAAGAAATTACCAGAACATGAACGAAGAGGAGACATTTAGTAAAACACCTTTAATTCAATAAAGAAGCTCAACCAGGCCAAGCATCTGAGACGAATAAAATTAATAAATAATGAACAGAGAAAAGGCATAAGAAGGTAGTAACAGGACAGGAAAACTCCTTAGGGGGTTAAATACTAAGAGGACGCTGTGAACTTTACAGCAATAAATTAGAACTTTAGACAAAATGGATAAATCCGGGAGACACGCAGATTACTACAAGGAGGAATACAAGACATCGATAATTTGCTACTAACACAGAAACCAAATCTGAATCTTACAACCTTCTTGTTAGGAGAACTCCAGGGCCGATGGCCTCAGGGGTGCGTGCCGCCCACCAGATAGATCCTGCACCGCTTGTTCTCAGCCGGGGATGGTCTGACCGCTGCCAGCGAGCTGCAGACGGTGAACTCTCCAGCCAGCGCGACTCACACACACAGATGATAAAGCCATGCACGAGAGAGCCCACGGCTGGACTAGAAAACCAAGCACTGTGAAGTCCACCACGTCAAGAGGATAAAGAAAAGGGATAAATAGCTGCAGAAATTCACTATTAAACATTAATCTTCACTCTTGCTGAGAACCTCACACAAACTAGAAAACACATACACAGCCCAGCAGTGACCCTCCTGAGCACCCAGCCTTTCTTCTAAACTCCATCCTGGCCCCCAGCCCCGGGGGAAGCGGGGGCCAGAGCGCTCAGGAGACCTGGGATTCTGCGCCCAGGTCGTCTCAGGTATCTCGGGGGGAGGGGAAGCAAACAGGTGCAGAAGCGGCTTCGTGGGGCCCAGACGGCCGAGGGGAGACCCTGGAGCAGCACAGAACATGAGCGTCCCTGACTGTACACGGTCCAGACGTCCAGCAAGGGTCTCAAAGTGAGAAAGCCACACAAAGAGCCTGGCATGCCAACACCTTCCCTAGAAGCCCACAGCTAAGGGGCAGAAAGAAGCACCCAAGCTGACCTTCCAGGAGGCCCTGAACTTCAGGGAGGCCCAGCAGGCCTGCGGGGGAAGGTAGTGCTTGTCACCAGTGCAGCTGCTCAGCTGCTCAGCGTGGGAAGCAGCCCCTTCCGGCAGGGGCCCCCCTGGGCAGCTGAAGCCCCGGAGGAGGTGGTGCGGCGGGAGCCGAGGACACCGGGCCAGAGCTCCCAGTGGGGTCGTTATGACCACTTCGAAGTTCCCCTCCCCCTCCCCTGCCCAGTGCCCAGGCCTGTGATCGTCACCACCTCCCAGGCACTGATCCAGAAGCCCTGTCCCAGCCACCTCTGCACCCTGATCCCAATTCAGGGGGATTCTCCAGGGAACCCCACTCACAGTCCAGGGCTCAGACAGCCACCAGGTGCCAAAGTGCCAGCCTTCAGAGTAGCCACAGGAAAGGCAGTTCCACAACAGAGCGGTCTGGCCAGCGCTGGTCCAGTGCCCGGCAGCACTGATGATGGGAAAGCCAGCACTGTGGGCAAAGTTAGGTGCACGGAATCACTGCTGGAGGCGTCTTAGCCAAATACTTGACTGGAATCCCATGAAGCCTCTGGATCTCACCTCCAGACCACCAGGTACACACAGGGGACAGGCGGACAGGCTAAATGCCACCACGAGGACAGTCAGGCAAACCCCGAAGCAGAGCCATCCACAGAAAAGGGGCTGTCCCATGGATAAGCCTACATCTTGCAAACGTAAGGCAAGAGGATTGGTTATTCCAGATAAAAGACAGATAAGAAACAAGACAGCCAAATGCAACATGTGGTCCTTGACTGGACTCTGATTTGAACAGACCAACTATAAAATTAGTTGGGGAGTTACTGGAGATATATGAATATACCTTGGGATTTTATTAAGGAATTATTATTAATTTCATTGAGTGTGAAAAAAGGTTTGGTTCCATAAAAATGTCATTTTTGGAGTTATGTAGTAAATATTTAGACACATACCAATATTTAGTTAGAAAATATGAATAAAGTTTTAATAAAACCATTATTAAAGACAGAAGAGAGACATTTCATAATACTTAAAAGATCGATTGGTCAGGAAGATATGAACATTTCAAAAGTATCTGCACTTAATAATATAGCTTCAATATATATAAAACCACAAGTTGACAGAGCTAAAAAAAGACATAGAAAACCCACAATCATACTGAAATATTTTAACACACTTCTCTCAGTATATGAAAGCGTGAAAAAAGAATCAGTGGAATACAGCAGATTTGAACAACATGATTAACCAACCAGCCCTAAAGGACCCGCGGAGACATTAAGCTCCACAGCCGGGAACATGCTTTCTTTACAGACACATTTTCCAACACCAATCACCCGCTGGGCTAGAGAGTCTCAACTAATGAGAAAGGACTGAAATAATATGGATTAAATTCTCTGACAACTATTGACTCAAACTAGAAATGAATAACAAAAAGGTAACTAGAAATTTTCCTAAATGTAAAAAATTAAGCAGCACACTTTTCAAATAAGATATGGATCAAAGGAGAAATCAAATGGAAATGATGTTAATTGAACGATAATGAAAATATGGCACATAAAGCATTATAATGCAGCTAACTCATGATTAGAGGGAAATACACAGATTTTAAATGCATATATTAGAAAACAAACTGAAAATTAATTATCTAAGCTACCACCCCAAGAGGTTACAAAGAGAACAACAGTTAAACAAAAAGACAGTAGAAGACAGGAAATAAAGATAGGGGCCGAATTCAATTAAATAAGAAAAAAAATGTACTATAGAGAAAATGAACAAAACCAAAAGTTGGATCTTTGAAACAATTTAAAAAATTTTAAGGGTATTCAAATTTTAATAAGGTCCTGTATAGAAACAGTTTTTTTCATTAATAAACTTCTAAACAGATTGAACAAGGAAAAAGAGAAAACCTGGGTTACCAATGTCAAGAATGAAAGTGAGGCATCACTGCCGACTGCACAGATATTAAAATAAGATACTGTGAACATCCACATACCAATAACTTGGCAGTTCACAATAAATGGACATTTTTCTCGAAAGACACAGCTTATCAAGACTGACATGAAAGAAAGAAAATCTGGATGGTCCTATTTCTGTTAAGGAAATCAACTCCATAATTAAATGTTTCCCACAGTGAAGCCAGGCCTGGATGGCATTACAGGTCAATCTATCCAAATATTTCAGGAAATACCTTACACAAACCCTTTCACTGAAGAGGAAAGTAGAAACCCCTACTCAAGTATCTTTTTTCCTTTATTTTTCTTTTTCAAGTCTTTTTGTGAGGCCACACCTTTAACACCAAAACCTGACAAGGACATTACAAGAAAGAAACAGTACAGGCCAATCTTGCTCATAAAAATAGACATAAAAATCTTCAACAAAACATTTGTAAATCAAATCCAGTGACACATAAAACAGTTCAACATGACTATGCGGTATTTGTTCCAGGAATACAAAGGTTGCTTAATATTTGAGAAATCCACTGCATGATCCTTTAATAGACTAAAGGAAAATCTGTGGGAGAAAACATGTGATAAAATGTAATAACTCTTCATTTTCAAACTCTCAGTAAGCCAGGAACAAAATGGAACTTCCTTTAAAACTTACAGCAACATCATACTTCATGGTGAAACACCGAGCACTTTCCCCCTTCGTCTGGAAACAAGAAGAGGTGTCCACTATACCATATGTATTCAACACTACACACAAAACGCCAGCCTGTGCAGTGATGCGAGAAAAGGAAATGGGGTCCAAGGATCAAAAAGGTCTGCAGACCATGTTGGTGTATGCAACCAATCTAATGATTCGAAGCAGTAAATGTATTTAGCAGGGTCACCAAATACCACACCAGGAAACTGAACTCCACTCTCCCCAGATCGATCTAGACAATCAGTGGACTCACAATTAAAATCAAGGACGTGTGGGGTGGGGTGGGGTGGAGGGGCGTTAAATTAACAATTTGACTCTGCAAAATCCGAGAAAACTTGGATACATCTTAAAGAACAAAGTCAGAGACTTACACCACAAAATATTAAGCCTTATGGCAAGGCTACTGGAATTAAACCAGGACGGTTCGGAGTAAGGACGGGCAGGCAGAGCAACAGAACAGACAGATGCCACCTCCCTGAAGGCCTGAGCTCGCCGGCCACCCCCGGGACGCCCAGGGCGGCTGGCGCAGAATACTGACTGTGTTCTCTCTGCTCTCCTTCCGACGCCGCCGCCGACGGGAGCCTCTTCCTTTCGCCTGGTTCCATTCCGGCTTCTGGCACCTCGCCCTTGCTCCCTTCCACCGCCTGGGCCCCTGCGAGGTGGGGTGTCAGTGCTGGATCGAAGCGGGGAGCGGGTCGCTGGGGGTAGGC